TTGTTTGAAAAAGCCATAGCTTCTGCATATGTTTTGCAGGCCAGGCTAGGAAAAGACTGGTTTAAATGTAAACTTCTAAAAATATACACTAGGAAACTCTTTTTTTTTTCTGGCTGTTTAATAACCTTAGAAATAAACAGTTACATGGACAGATCTTCAGTATCACGCCCAGAGGCAACCTGGGCAGGAAGGACAGAAATCTGCAGCCGCATTTTAGCGCCGCCCCCCCCCAAGAGGTGACGGTCACCCAGACTCTTGGTCTTGGTGTCTGTACGTCTTAAAATCGACAGTAAAGATTCCCACCTTTCCCACTTCTCGGGGTCGGAGCAATCAACTGATTAGTGTATGTGAAAATGTTATCAAAATTATAAATTTCATATCAAATAAGAATCATTATTAACAGCCCCTCAAGAATCGCTCCCTCGTGGAAATGCCTGGAGCAGTCAGAGCCATCGCTTGGCAACGGGCTCAATAGTGTGGCCCAGGTTTGGGTTCGAGAGGGTGGTTTGCCTCTCCTCCCTTTCCAGACCCCATGGGAAGGAAAGGGTTCCAGAGGGGGCAGATCTGTGACTCTGGTGCCGTGCAGGAGGGTGGTTTGAGCTCCACAGTCCGCTGGAGAAGAAGCCCTGGGGGTGCAGAGGAGTGAAATGCAGAGGGTGGAAAGGGGTCCCAAGTTGCAGCACAGACCAGCTGCCGCAGGGGCTACTTGTGTCCCAGAGAAATCGTGGTACTCCAAGTCGGGGCCAAGAGCAGGCGAGAGCCTGCGTCCCAGACAGGACTCATCAAGTTACATTTTAATTAAGTGGCTGCCCCACTGGGCCAACCTCCCAAGGACACAGAGTAAAAGGTAGATTAACAACAAGGAAGGAAGGTAAAAGCCTGGGGATTAACTCAGAATATTAAAAATTTGACAAAAATGTGAATGAAGGAAGGAATTTAACAAATAAATGATATAAGGAAAAACTGCACAAGCAAACAGCTTAAATATGTCAGGGAAGGACTTCCCTGGTGGCACAGTGGTTAAGACTCTGCGCTCCCAAGGCAGGGGGCCTGGGTTCGATCTCTGGTCAGGGAACTAGAACCCACATGACACAACTAAGAGTTTGCATGCCACAACTAAGAGTTCGCATGCCACAACTAAGGAGCCGGTGAGCCGCAACTAAGGAGCAGACCTGCCACAACTAAGGCCTGGTGCAACCAAAAAGAAAAAAGTGTCAGGGAAGATGACTGGCTGACATCCGCACAGTCTTAGGAAATTATGTAGCATTCAAGTAAAAAAGACCCTTCCCTTCCGTGGGTAGCGGTGGGGCGACCACTGCAACTGAATGTGTCAGACAGGATGTTTCTAGTCAGAGATACTAGATAAGAGGCCATAGAAAAAAACCCTTGAAAATACTGAGGGCAAGTCAGCTTGAGCTCAGCGTCCCCTAGCAAACACTTCCAGGAGCAAGAGAACCAAGTCAAGACGCTTAGGGAGATGTGGACATTCAGTTTCTCTCCTGTGCATTTTGATGGTGTTTCTAGAGACAGAAAGAGGACTGCATGGATGCTGGGGATGGTGGTCCAGGCGAGAGGTGTGGGGTCCCCTTGGCCGGCTGGGCAGAGGCTCCAGCAGTGGGTGAAGCCAGTCTGCGCCATGGGTGAGAAGGCTTAGAGGTCATGTGACCTCCCAAAGCTGTTTAAGAAAGTCTAGCTGC